TTTTACTGTGCTATTGTCTGTTGAAAATAAATTCCCAGTGTGATTGTCTGTACTACTTTTTTGGTGAGAGAAATTTATTTCCCATCCTCAACATATTTACATTGTATCTAGATTCAAAAGGGTTTTCTATACACTCTGCAAGATTGTAGCACAGTCAGCACAAATAAAAAGGCAATGAATAATACTATACGTCATGGCTTTCATACTTCAAAAATTCCACTGGGGTCACAGGGTTAAATTAGAGACCTTTTAATCATTGGTACAGCTTTATGAATGATGTACTTTACTCTGATAGTTTACTAGATGTCACTATTTAACATGCATCTGACTCCTTCGAATTAAAAAAACAAAAGGCTTTGTGTAACTCAAAGACCCTGCAGTTATGAGGATCATTGTAATTCTACTGAGACAAATCTTGAGGGCCTATTCAGTTTGTATACCATATATATAATCAGGCTAAATGACACTGAAGTCAATTGGAATTTGCCTGAGCCAAAACTGAAAGAGGACCTCAAGAATTAGCCCATAAAGAATATATAATACTTTCCTTCCGTAGTTAAAAAATAATTGTTATTACTTATTTGTATTGTGGCAGTGCCTAGAGGCCCCATTCAGATATGGTTTTTATTTACAACCTCATATATGGACCATATTATGTACCTAGATTTTTCACGAGAAACTCCTTACTTTCAGAATGATATGTTCCTATAGGACAAGCCTCTTGTTGCAAAATCATTACTGATCTTAATTAATCAGGACTTCTTATAATATCTCAACCAAAAGATAGAACCTCTTATAACTCTCTGCCTCCTAGACCCACACTGGAGCATTACTTCAGTAATGACTCTGAAGGAATAATGCCACCTAGTAAATCATCATCACATCTTCCTGAAGCACCTGGATTTTCCGTGGAAATCTTCCATGCAGGTAGTGAAGTCTGAGTCTTATTTAGTTTATGAATTCTAATAAGATCACAGCCCTGAACTGGTATGACTGTAGAACACTTGATACCTGAGAATATTCAGATGAAGCATAAAACACAAACTGGCAGAAAATAAATATAAGCTAATGGCCAGATTCTGATACAGTTCCCTATTTGTGAAGGAAGGGACTTCTCTATGTAAATAAAAGTGGTAGAGTCTGTCCATGAATGATGACAGTACAGTAAGAGGTTCACATCTCAGCTTGAAATAAAGCCCATGAAGCATAGTGTCTAATTCTGCTGGAAAAAGTTTCAAAGTGCAAGTAAAAAAGAGGCTTCTGAATGGATCTGAAACCAAAGATCCATATCAGAGTATGAGATTTCATTTGGAGTTTCAGGTAGAGTCACAATCAGAGTCCCATATGGTCTGTGGCAATGGTAGAAATTCTGCAGCTGGTTCAGATAAATTAATAATGTGAGATTTTTTTTATTGAATTAGATATGAAAATTAGTAATGCAATCAGTGTATTAGTCCCCATATTATTTATTTCATATAAAATTCAGTTTATTCTGTCTCCAAATTCTCAGCTTTCAGGATGTCCCAGCTTGACATCTTTAGGTTTCAGAGTGAACATGAATGGGGTAGGTCACATTTCTATCACTGCTTCCATTTATACTCCATTCATGTTTTTCAAACTTTTCTTCACAACCATGCAGGCTAGAAATATCTGATTCTGTGACACATTTTTTTCTGAAAGAGGTGAATTCCAGTGCAAATTTTATGGCTGATGGGATTGATAAGTGACACAGAAACCCTAGCCCTCTTGAATGTGATAGTTTGCAATGAAAATCAATTTACAAATGCTTGGGGAAAACATGAAAGGACGTTACTGTGTTTATTTGTTTATTTCTATATTCCTAAATGGAACAAAGAGTCCTCAAAAGTACAATAGAGCTAGAAACAACTGAGGTCCCCATCTGGAAATTTTCTGCACATACAGGGAAGTGTGTGTATGTAAGAGAGAGACCAACAGAGAGCACGTGAAAGGAAGGTGATCGTTTTCTGAAGCTGTTACCATGGCTAAGAAGAATAGTACAAAGGTATCTAAAGACATACATGAAGTTCAACCAGAAAACAGCAGGCATTCTTTAGTACTCCACCCTGACAATGGTGGCCACCTATCCTTTATTTTAAGGGGCAAAATAATTTGGGGCCTGATCCCACAAGTTGCTGAGTACCTCCTATGCAGTCTGAGTTCTGTAATAATGTAGCTCAGCAATTTGAAGGATCAAGATCTTAGTGTCTAATATCCCTTATCAAATCAATACAGGATGAATTTTGTCCCATATTTCAGCAATAATTATGCAAAGCTCATACATTATGTTACAAATATATAATGCCCTGACCCTGTCATGATGTCTGCACAGATGGACCCTGACACTGTTTGTGAAGTCATGGGGGCTCTGCAAGGACTTGTGGTGCAGCTGTGTTGAGCTCATGGCAGAACTGGGGCCTCATTTTGTTTCAAGAGTTGAACATTGCAGGATAGAGTCCCTTTTAAAAATATTGCAGGGCGTTTTTTTTAATTGCCCTTTTATTTCTTTGAAATGTATTTTGTAGATAGTCACTGTAACCCTGAGTAAGTCAGAGTTTGATTTAGCTTAAGAAAAAAGGCTAAGCTGGGAGGAAAATAGAACTGATATTATAATTTCAAATTGCTTAATATCTGTCAGAATTTTCACAGGTGAGTCTCAAGCCCCAAGGAGTCTGATTGATCTAAATCCCCCCCCCCTTTCTTCTCCCCAAAACAAGACGCAGTCTTCAAAGGAACAAATACATAACATAAGATATGGGCCAAATAAATTATTAAAATATATAAAAAGAAAGAGATTCAAAAAGAGATGCAAATTATTGGCGATTTGACAAGCAATTGATGCTGTTGCAATCACTGAACATCGCAATTCATGAGTTTTCTTTGCTAGACAGATAAATAGTTGAAATAATCTGGAAAGCAAATCTCTCTCTCTCTCTCCATTATCCAGGGAACAACCAGCTATTAAAAGTTTTAGTTAATGTCTCGATAGTGATTGTGATTTGGAGAGTCACTTCACATCAGAGTTTCACAACATACATTTTGGACTCTTTAATAGAGATGCGTTCCAAGCCTGTTTCCCCTGAAATCAGAGTGTTTGAAAACACAGATGTAGACTGGAATTTTTTGGCCTGGACCCATCTGGACCAACCCCTGTATAGTTTGAATAGTGGTTTGTAGAGTAAAATTCTTGGAAATCTCAATTTTTTTCTTTCTCAAAACTTGAACTAGTAATCACTCTGCTCTCTTTGTTCTCTTTTATCTTTCTTAGCTGAACTACAAGAATCCCGAGGGAGATGTGATTTTCATAAAATAAAAAATAATGACCAGCAGAAGGAAGGAAATAAGTTTTTAATGACTCTGAAAATTCTCTTCACAAAACTGCAAGTTTTTTGATGTATCGTATCTGTAAAACAATAGTACTGTCCCAAATACTGGAAAAGGAAGAGAAGGTTTTTTTAAAAGTTTGATTTATGTTTTTTTTTTTTTTTAAGGCTGATTGAGGCTTTTGTGCACCACTCTAAGCCATTAAGAAACATCTCTGGACCTGAACCTGCAAAACCTTTCCCATGTGAGCAATGGTTTCAGTGAGATGGCTTGTGTGAGGAAAGACGCACATGAGTAAGGGATCGAACCTTAAACCTGTAGAATATCTGCACTTTTCAAAACACTCCAGCTTTCCTGGAAATTAGGAAATTGAAAATCAAGGGCTATGTGGTTGTATGGTGCCCATCACCTTAGCATCTGAGTGCCTGAATTAACTTTACGCTGAAGGATAACTTGCAGAAGTTACAAAAAGGTATACATTTGTATTAAATTTCCAGGTACGGGTGCATTCTGCATCAGTGACAACAAGGCAGTATGTTACTCTGGGGTATGAGCTCATTCATATGAAGATTTTTTTTAAACAGTGAAAATATAGCAGAAGTATCCAGACCTGTGGTCCTGATGCAGGGAAAACTCTCAGAGATCAATGAGACATTAGCTTCGGAGGGAGCACAGTAATGGGTAATTAAAATGTTTAATAAACGGATTTTGAGTCCAGTCCTGCAGCCCGATGGGTTAATCCTGTGAGGTCTGAGTGCTGTCAAGTCCTGTGGAAGCTGATGGTCCTGGTTCTGGGGTTCCTTACAGCTCCTTTGAGCTGGCCGCAAAGCTGGAAGAATACTGTTATTCCCCTCATGGAATACTCCTGGAGTATGGGTGCTTCCCCAGTGTTGAAGTGCTAGTGAAACTGTCCCCTGCCACAATCCCCTTTGAAGCCACAGGCATATAAGGGAGGCATAGGGTGTGTTGCTGGAGCACATTGCACTCCTGCCTGCTCTGGGCTGCTGGTCAGCCTTATAGGGCAGATTCAGCAGAACCTCAATTAGAGCAGCCCCAGAGGCTGTTGTAGTTTGCACCAAGGACTGCTCCAGTTCCCAGCTAGTCCCATATCTACTTACTGCAAAACTGGCATAAAGCCACTTTTATTACCCACCCTGCCTTATGTCTGCAGTGAAATCACTTTGGCTGGGGCGGAGAATCAGGACCAATGGGAGGAAAACATAAAAATAAACACATTCAATAGACACCATTTATTAAAATGTGCAACCCCAGGGGTTGGCAGAGGTGGTATATTTTCCTCATTCAGCCCTGAGGGGAAGAAAAATTTGGAAAGCTGCAGCTCAAGGTGGGGAATGATGGGGATCTGAGTACGTTTCGAGCATGCAGCACGTTCCCAAAGTTTCCTCCCTGCAACTGCATGAACTAGTGCATCGGATTTAGCAAACACGTTTCAGTTATTAGAAAGAGGCCTCCTCCTTTTGCCTTTCCTGGGCTTTCTCTGCGGCTCTGTGCTCTGCTGCCTGTGTCTGGCTGGAAGTGAAATGCACTAGAGCTGCTGCTGCTCCTTTTTTTTTTTTTTTTTGAGACTCCAAAAGGATCTTTATTCCCTTTCATGTGCCGCCTCAGTCCAATAGGAATCCAGAGGCTGCCTGCAAGTGGTCTAATCTCAATGAGGTGTCAATCATGTTCCCTGGTGGGTGAAGTAAGGTCTTTTGTAACCGCCTCTGTCTTTGGGAAAAGAGAAGAGAGAGGAGAAAGACTTCAGCAGAGAGAGGAGGAACGCAGGACCGTGCTGCAGAAGGGGAACTGAGATTTGATTTTTGCTTTTGCTTTAGCAGGGGGGAAAGTGGAGCACATGGATTTCTAAAAACGTTGGGATTTTATATATAGATAAATATATATATATATATATATATAAAACCCACCACTGAAAACAGTCCAATGAATCGCAATTGCAGATCAATGCAGAGAAATGGGGAAACTTCATTCGAAACATGGTTAGTTCCTTTCACTTGCTACTCCCACAGCCCTTTCCCCCTTGTTTGGATGGCGTGTTGTTTGTTGTGATTTTTTTATACTGGTGTCTAATGATCTTCCTGTATTATTTTTTTCCCCTACACTTTCCCATGGACCTGCCTAGCTGCCGTTTGTAAACCGAGAGAAAGTCCAGAAGGTAGGGATGGCTCTGTATTGCTGGTAACTTTCACATCCCCCTACCCCTCTCTCTCCCCTCAAACTTTCTGCGGCGGGTTCGGTGGGACAGTGGTGGCCGGCTCAGGTTTATACCCCAGGTGCTGGTCCACCCCCCCCCCCTCTGGGGCAGGCAGAGGGCATGGGTGTGCTGCTCCAGTATGTGGCATTGTCTCTTGTGCTTTCCTTAGGTGATAGTTTTGCAGTGAACGCCTCTCTAGCTCGGAAAGGGATTGAGGACTGGATGGTGAAGCAGAAATACTTCGGTAGCAGCGGGGGCAGCAGTACGGGACTCCTGCAAGGCTGCCAGCACCGGGCTGTTTGCAGGCTCTCCAGCACCAGGGTATGTCAGTGTCTCAGCTGCACAAACTCCCCCACTCCCCCTTCCCTCTTCAGACACTAAAAGCCCAAGCCCCTTTCTCCCTTCCCTTCCCTTCCCAGGATCAGCTGTGAGGAGGCTCTGCTTTGCCCAGATGCTGCTTTTAGGGGCTGCCCCGGTGGGTGGCTTCTTTCCTTGTGCCCCTTTGACGAGGTTAGAATCCCAGAACAAAGTCTGCTCTGGCATAAGAGCCTGCCAGAAGTACAAGCACCTGCCCACTAGTTTATTAGCCGGACGATTAGTACAAAACCCACTGCAAACAGGAACAAACAGAAAACCATTGGAATGCGCCCAGCTCCCAAAACGTACCAAGAGAAGCTACTGTCTGTGGCAGAGAGCAATTGCTGTGGCTCTTTGACATAGGAGTTCAGGAGCGCCGAGCCACGAAAGAGCCTTTTTACTTTCCAAAAGTGTTATTTGCTGATTTGGTCATGCTATTAGTGCATGGGTGATTTTCTTTTTAAGGAGTTTTTGAGCTTGCCACTTGTCACTTCCCAGCTCATCTGTGTGCACACGCTGCTTGGGGGAAGTCTATGTAACCAATTCACCCTAAATCCTCCGGGTAAAGTTTGGGCAAGAGTGGGGTTGTAGGTTTCTTTCTTAATGCTGTCCCTTGAAACTCAAGGGAATGATGGGGGAGTAGAAGACCGTGATTCTCAAATATTGTCCATCTACTCTTTTAGGATCTCATCCAAAGCTCACTGAAGTGTATGGAAAGACTCCCACTGATTTCAATGTGCTTTGGATCAAACCCTTAAACTGGGTCAGTGGAAGAGTAACCTGAGAGATGAGGAGACTAGAATCTGTGCTTCCCAGTGCAGGAATGTGTGTCAGAAAACACAGTTAGGGCAGCAACACCAAACATCCTGCAAACTTTTGTGTTTGTGAGGAGACATTTCATCGTAAATGGTGCAGTTTTTACTTAACATCTGGACTTTACCTTTCCTCTCGTTTGAGATGTGAGAATGGATAAGAGACTATGTTGGGGTCTTAAAACCTTTCTCTTGTGCTTGGGGGTCTATAATCTTAAAACCTTTCTCTTGTGAGAATTGATAAATAATTTGGAAATCATTGGAGGCTGGGTGAAAGGAGTAATATGCTATATAAGTGTTATTTATTATCAGTGGACAAATTAATTTTGCTCCCTGTTAAACTCTCTTAGCCACCATTGGTTTGAGGGTTTGGCTTGGAGTTTTGTGTTGGAGAAAATGTGATGACAGTGGGAGAAAGAATTTCTTACTTAAAACAGTGTGTGCATAATCTGTATCAATAAATAGAATATAATAATTCTGCCTACAATTATTCTTCAGATAAACCCACTTTTGCAAGTCAAACTTTTGAGATGTGTGTGTTCTACCCTTAACGGGCAGGTTTGTCTAGGAAGGAGAGTCTCAAATTTAAACTGAATACAAAAAGAAAACATGGGTTTAAAATACAGGGAAAACCTCACAAATTCTAACATAAGTTTTATGAATCTCAACGATACTTTGAGAGACTTGCAAAACTCTTACTCCATGAGTTTTATTTATCTCTATATATATTAGTAAAAAGTCATTGTTTTTCTTAGTTAATTAAGCAATTAGCTAAATTATCCATACTTTTTACTGTCCTCTAAAATTAGTTAATTTGAAATGTGCTTGAATGCACTATTCCATAGAGGGTGTTGACTGTACCTCCTAATATGTAGTTTGGTGCAGAATGTTTCAAAATAATGGTGGCCTGATACTGCCCTGAATATATGGCCTCATTGCCTGTTAATTGCTTTAATGCTATTGGCATCCTGCTGGAAGATGGCTGTGACAGTTACATTAAGGTTCCTTAAAATATGAATTTTATGTCATATGGAAGGAGGTATAGCTGAAACAGATATGCTGTGTGTAAAGGTTATGGAGTCAAGGTTGCAAGACCAATTCTGAGACCTATCTTTGATTCTCCGATATCCCAAGATATCATAGAATCATAGAAATGCAGGGCTAGAAGGAACCTCAAAAGATCATCTAGTCCATTCCCCTGAACTATCAAGTGGACTGCAGCCTAGCATCTTAGTTATTAGTTTATTCAAGATGTAGAAGTGACCAATATTTATAATCAATTTCATGGAATGCTACATAACAATTGTACATACCCAAACACTTGAATCAATCAAAGTTTTTTCTTTGTGCTTGTGCCATGGTTGAAAGTTTGGTTTTCCATTAAAACCTATTTTAGTGAAAAAATCATATTTTAATGATGATTTTAGTGAAAAATCATATGCTATTGTGGTTTGTGGTAGGAATAGATAGATCAGAAAGAGATGAGAATGTGTGGAGTCAAGGAAATATCCAATTGAGTTTACATTAGAGAAAAATCAGTGGCTCTAGGAATATTTTTGTTCACTATTGAGCCTCTTCTCAGGAATCTCTAAAAAGAATCATGATTATCTGTTTAGCGTTTTGGGCCTGATTTTGTGAAATTTTGTGCATCTTCTCTTTGCTTTCGATGAGAGTTGAAAGCACTCAACAGTATTGTGCTGTGAAGTTTTGGATAGTCTTGGTCCAAAGTTTTGGAGGTTTTGGATCGTCTTGGTGAAAAATTGTTCATAATAGAGTAACCTGACAATACATTACATATAAATCAGGATATAAACCAGTTGTAGGCTGTTTTCTTAGGAACAGGGCCACTAAAATGGGCTTCACTTCTGTCTTCCAGGGAAGTTGACACTAATGTAGCTGTTTTAAAGCAACAAGGAATGAGTAAATTAGCTAAATAAAGTTTAGTATGTTCACTTAAAATATAAGATTGAATGTACATGGATGAGTTTCATAAACCAGTTGAGGGAAATATTTGTGTACACTGAATCTTGAACTTTTTGACAGAAGCATGGTTCAAAAATTCAAAAGCTGTTCTATTACTGAACTGTAATTTAAAGTGTTTCCTGATTGGAACAAGCTTTGCTCAGCTGATCCCTCCTCCCCCCCAACAGTCATGAGGAGAAAACTAATTAGTGTCCAGCTATTGCCAAATGCATCAGTCATCTGAGAAGGCTGTCGTAGTAGTAAATTGTTGTTGGGTGAAGGCATGAACAAGGGTAAAGTGGTGTGTAAACAGCCTTCTCTTCTGGGATAAGAGCTCTGATCTCATTAAAGCATTGACACCTGCCCAGCAGGGGCTGCTGTGCTCTACATTTTTTGATTACTATGTAGGCTGGGGTTAATTTGCAGCCATCCTGGTCCGTGACACTGAATTAAAGGAAAAAGCAATTTTGTGGCATCCTTGAAAAGTATGATGGCTTGAGTTATCGTCTGTTTTTAATGTTAATTGAAACCACTGGGGTTGTACATTACAAAGCCTTTTAGGGAAGTAGAATACATGTTTGTTGCTACCTTATGAAGGAGTTAACTTGAGGCTGGAGAAAAAGGGAAAAGCTTCCTGTCACTGAGCGGATTATCCTTTAACAGATTTCATTTATTCATCTTGTTTATTTTTACAAACTATTTCTGCAAACCACCATTATTTGAATTTTTTTTTAAAACTAAAAAGCGGCTTTGTGCTAGAGGGGAAATTTTTAAATATAGCATTTGCTTAATTCAATTTACTTTTATCTTCAAAGCCATAACAAATTTTATTAGTTTCTTACTAGAGTGTCTCATCAAAATCGGAGTTCTGGGTTGAAAAATCTGTCATTTTTAATTGCCTGTATGAGTCCGAAACAAACTGGTACCCACTGAGCCAAGTTGGAAGTTACCATGATGGGAAAACTAGGAAAGACTTTAGGTACCGGTATATTGTTAGGACTTTATACAGCTCTTGATTTGCATGTTCCACTCTCTTGACATCAGTGGGATTGCACCCCCCCTGGCTGGGAACAGTACAGAATGTAATACTAAGAGATATCACTGGCTTTAAGACTGGGGCATGCTTTCCATATGTTCTATGCCTGTAACTTCCATTGACATTAATGGGCATTCCATGCATTGTTTGAGAAGAGAATAGACCGCAAAGTGTCAGCTTCCATTCTCTTCTAACAGGATCTTTCTTTTAAAAAAGATTGATCTGTTTAATAGTGTGTTTAAGCATGCGTGTGTATATGTACACAGATATAGTCTGTAAAGCACACATGTAGATAGGTCATGTGTGCTGAATGAAAACACAATTCCTTAAAAATCATTTTATGATTTATTGTCCACATTCACATTGCCTTGAAGGCCATTAAAATGGTAGAGTTAAATTTTAAACACTAGTTAGCAATATTTTTGGAGACCATCTCATGAGCAGAACTCTGTTTTGAGAGGCTGACCTTTTCTTGTCATGGTAGCAATACAAGTATATATCTATTGGATAATTTATCGGTCTACCATATTGCTGTGTGACTATTTAAAATGTTCTTTTTTCTTTTAACTTGCCTCCTGTCAAGTATGCACATAGTCTACCTCATTGTTGGCATTTTGTAACTAATATACTATATTGACTTATGGAAACCTGGTTAAAATTAACAATGGGTTTATCGGTTCTAGGTATTGCTAGGGTTTGGATAATTGTTAATTTTGCATGCATCAGGTGTAGTAGACCAAAACAAATTCACCCAAATTTTGCAGTGAAAGAGATAGGAGAGAAAAGCCCGAAGTACTGTTGAGATTTTGGTGCCAACAAACCAAGACAGTTTAATTACTGGTGCACGTAGTACATCTTGACAGTGCTGGTTTGGGAAAATTACACTATGAACACTAACAATCAAAGAAGTTCTGAAAGTAGTAGTGCCATGGTGATGAGATTAGTGAATTGGCCAGTACTGTAGCAGAAAGCTGGATTCCAGGGGAATTATCCTTGAATGATACCAGTTGGTACAATTAAAAGCCACAATGCAGCAGCCATATGGAAAGTGTTAGACGTCCTTACATGGTTTCAAAGCTATGTGCCGGAGGTTAAATTGACATATGAAGAAAATCATAAATTAAATATTTTGTGTTATGAAATTAGAAAGTTGA